AAGCAAACTTGTCCCCCCTCCCGTCTCACCCGACGGCCCGCACTCACATCGCATTTGGGACTGAGCATGCTTACGTCATCAATGATGCACAGTTCAGTAAGAAGCGCTCTCACTCAGCACAGTGGAAATTTCTTTAGTTATATCGTTTTCAAAAGTTCACACTTAGCTGATGACTGATTATAAGCAAGTTTAGCATGCTGTCCCGGGAGAGAGACCTGAGCTCAAAAGGTCCTTGAGCCCTGGGCTCCCTCCCGTTTGCCTCTCCCCTTGATATGAGCTGATGACTAAAATAAATGCTATGAAGAGATATGCTGCTGGATGAGAGTTTGACTGTAGTGCTAAATTTAGATTGATCAATTCACTTGACAATTGGACACCGGAGAACCCAGGGAAAACCCACGCGAGCACGGGAAGAACATGCAAACTATTAAGGATGCACCGATATGGTATTTTTGGCCGATACCGATTACCGATAATTCTTCAGACTTGGAGGCCGATAGCCGATATATATAGGCCGATAATTATAAATTTCAAAATGTTATATTTTTACACAGCAAACTTCATAAAAGCTGAAACTCTGCTCTTTTGAACTGAATAGCCTATACTCAAAGCAAAAAAGCTATGATTTCAAAAGTATATATTCAATTATATATAACCTATATTCACGATTTCACACAAATCAGCATGCAAAAAATATATTATTTCATTTTCTTCATAGCAAATTAACATGCAAATTGACTGTTGCATAAAATTAAAAAGGTTAAATAACAAAATAGGATTTAATTAACAAGCAAGTTAAATATATTTTAAATAAGATGAAATTTAAAGAGTTAAGAACTAAAACCAGCTCAAATGTTCTTGAATAAAACGGGTTACAGTAATGTACATGTGTACAAATATGTCATGTCCGAAAACGCCTTTTTTTAGAGGTGTTTTGACAGTTCAGAGCCACAGTACAAGTGATAAGCTAGATACAGAATGTATTATTTTTAAAAATGCGACATAAATTCATCCTATTTGGCGTTTTAGATTCTTTTGAACACATGTAGTATCAACGCTTGCGTTCGTTCTTGCTGTCAATCGCGGGGAAAATGATCGATGGAAAGTTTATGATAAACCGCTGTGAGGGTGCAGATTTGCCCTCGGATTTTGATACAAACCTGATCATTGAGCTCAGATGACTTTATGGCAAACACAGAGCAGAATATAAAGACAGAACGTGTGGCCCGTATGCTGGATTCAGTGACCGGTGCACCTAGGCTCTCCCCTGTTGATCTGTGAAGGCTCAAGATCTATGTGTGTGTGTGAAGGCTGTCAGATCTATGTGTGTGCGCTCGTGCGGTGAAAGCTCTCGCGCGCTTGTTATAATCAATATGAATATTCTGATCAACACATGGGAAACGCGTTGATAACAAATAATTATATTAGACTAAAAACTTTCCGTAAAGTTTTTGTTTAGCGCGTCACGTGTGCAGGTCAGTTTGGTGTGTGTGTGTACGTGTGTTTGTGTGTGTGAAGCGAAGAGGGAGAGACAGAAAAGAGGAGCGCTTTTTTCGGGTCCTCGTTCATTCACCGGCTGCAACTAAAAGAATTAACCCTGAAACTAATATTATTCGGCCTTGGAGTAATAAGTAAATCTCCCTGCTATCTCTAACACAACAAATAGACTGAGCAGGAAAGACTTTCATATGTAATATTTTTTCCTGAGGCGATTTGAAGCAAAATACACAATGACACTCAATCAAACATATCTACAATGATAAGGATAACGGTTACTTACTGAGTTATTAACGCACAGCAATACCACGTGAGGAAAGGACGGACTTTGAAGGAATAATCAGTGTGAGGAGAGATCCATGAACAAATCTGAACATGTTTCGCCCACGCGTGCACAGCAACAATTACGTAATTTATCGGCTTAATTTAGACATCGGATCGATAACAATAATCTTAAAAATAGCATTTATCGGCCAATAACGATATGGCTTCCGATATATTGTGCATCCCTACAAACTATGCACAGAAATAACAGCCGGCCTGTTAAAGGACTAGAACCGGTGACGCTCTTGCTGTGAGGCTACAGTGCTAACCACTGGGCCACCGTGCCACTCTATGAAGGGAAAGCTGGAGAGGTAGGGGTGGAAGGGGGGATTCTTCAAATTGAAGATGACTGTAGTGAGAAACCCTGGCTCTTTACAGTGGGTTAGGATTGCTGTGATTGGTGGATCATACATACTAATGCAGAACCAGCCGTGTTCAATCAAAATCACGTGATCCTCTCGAAATTAGTTTATAAATAAACTTCACGTAAATCATTTGGGATGCGGTGACACGCAGTTAATTATTTCGCCGAACAGATCAGCCACTTTTGACGCTCATAAACAATTATAAAGTCATCGCGCTGCAGGAATTAAGAGGTTTGCTACAGGTGCAGCTGTCATGCAGTAAGGGGTTTGCGTCTTTAATAATCTACGACAGTTTGCATTCATTGAACAGTATGAATGATTAATAAATCCATATAAAACAGTTCCTTAAACGTCACATCTCGTCTTCAGTTTATTGGCACACCTTTTTCAACCAGGCCAGGGCCGGCCAAGTGAACCGCACTTGAGCCAGATTCGGAGCACTCACACTTCTCAAACGATATGGGCCTGGCCACGGTTCGGATAGCATAGTGTGAGTACGCCCTGAAACTAAAAAGTGTTCACATTTACTGTTTACTCTGCAAAAATAACTTATTTGCAGTTTAATAGCAGACACTTGTAACTCAAGATCTCAAAGATATATAGAAAAATATAATAGAAGTAAAACTATCCACCAGTCTCCCCCATACAAATATATCATAGGTACATGCAACTTATATTTCAAAATGTATCAATAATAATTTATAATACTTATGCTCTTGTGAGTATCTCTCTTCCGCCTGTTGAGGATTCATTACCTACAATGTAAATAACAGCCACAGACAAAATATCTATCTAACAATCTATGCCCACCACCACCCCCTTCCACTTGGAAGGACATCTATCCATGCACCTATACTTCTGCATTAAAAGGATATTCTTGACCATCAGTGTCCAGTCACCACTGAGGTGTGTGATTCCTATTTGTCTCCACATGCTCCACTCCAGTCTGTAAAAGACAAAGACACGACTAACAGAGCTCTACATGCTTGCTGAACTCCAGCAATGCACAAGCTGCTCTCCAGCGTTCTTCAGATGAATCTCCACCGATGCTCTTGTGAGTCTCCTTCTTCTGTCTATTGTGTGCCCATTACCTGAAAAAGAAACACCTGTGGCAGACAAGACATCTATCTAACTATTTACTGTATCTGAAGGAAATAACTGATCATCACTTAGTCTTTACAAATTAAAGTATATAATTTAAAAATGTTTTATTAAGTTAATTTTATTCAACTAAAAATGTAAGTCTGTACCTAATTTATTACGATGTACTTGTCAATACTGATGTGTGGTTCACTGTTTCTCCACATGCTCCATGCCAACCTGTCAAAGAGAAAGATATCAGGTCTTTAACTAATCGCAATACATTTCTTTGGAAACTAACTCCATTGTTTAGTCTGTTCTAGCAGTTCTACCTGCTTCCTGAGCTCCAGATTTTCAAGTATATCTCCACCGTTCTCCTTGTGAGTCTTCTACTTCTGCTCCACTTCAACCTACAAATGACAAAAGCTGCGTCCCAAATGGCACGCTATACACTATGAACTTATACTTATATGTACTTATGCAGTTACACACTCAATAGCATAGTATATGAATGTAGTGTCCCAAATAGAACACAATTGGTTATTTACTAACCACAAATTCAGCTGTCGTGCATTGAGAAGTTTGCGTATTTAATAAACTACGGCAGTTTGCGTTCACTGAACAGTAAGAATGATTAATAAATCCATATGAAACAGTCCCTTAAAAGTCACGTGTCGCTTTCAGTTTCGGGCTTTGGCGCGTTTTGCACTCACACTACAAGTGTACCGCGCCAAAGCCCAAGTGAACCGCGCTCAGGCCCACCTCTTCCAACCGGACCAGGGCCGGCCAAGTGAACCGTGCTTGAGCCTGATTCAGCGCACTCACACTTCTCAAACGATCCGGGAAACGAGCCTGGGCACGGTACGGATGGCATAGTGTGAGTAGGCCCTTAGTGAAACAAATGACCAAACTATCCAATAATACTTGCCATGAGTATAATCACTTTCACCATCAGGAAGCAGCATAATCACTCTTGTTGGAGAATTTTGCTTTCTTAATCCAAAATAAAGTAATCAAACTTAAGCTCCTGATAGCTCCACTGATGCTCTTGTGAGTCTCCCTCTTCTGCCTGCTCTCTCTCCATTACCTGAAAAAGAAAAACCTGACAAAGACAAGGCCTAATTACTATCTACAACAACCAGCATTCCTTCATCTTGGAAGGACGTCCATCGATTAACACGTCCACCTAATTTAAAAAAAAATTAAATTCCTGACCATTCAGTCATTGCTGAGGTGTGTGATTCCTTCTTTTCTCCATGTGGTGCCATCTGATCTGTAAAATACAATAGAAAGATGTCAAGTCATTCATTAATCTAATACCATTCTTTGGAAGTTTCATCTACCATTGTCTCCAGTCTGGTTGTGTTCTAAAACTAACAAATAATATTTCACAGCTTTAAGTCAATACTCTACTAGATGACAATCTATAAACTTAGAAGAGATAAATGTGCTACAATAATTAGTAAAACTGTAAATAAAACAAATAACAATCAAAAGCTACAAATGTTGAACAGACCGACAGCATAAATTACTAATAAATAATACAACAGCCAGACAATCTATCTGACAACAGACGTGCAGTAATATTCAATGTGTTAACGCTGACAGCATACAAATAAATTAGAACAGATCAATTTATCAGATCATATAACAAATAACAATCTGCAAATGTTAAGTTAGATAGCAATATACAATTGAATCATACAAACAAACAAAAATATTGTATCTATTTCTGTCTATCTGAAGGAAATATCTGACAACCACTTACTGCCCCATTAAGACCAGGTTTTCCACTCACTGAAGCACCACAAGCACATCTCCTGTGAGTTCCAGTGTCTCTCCTAGTGAGGTGTCTCCTGGTTCCTCGTCTAGTCTTCATCCTGTTTGCTGTCTGTGGTATCCAGTTGCCTATTGGTCTCCAGTCTCCAAGCCTGCATAATCAAATATCCAATTCAGGTTAATGGACTTATTATCTGCATCAATATATTATCACCTGCTTATACTCACCTGACGTCCTGTTATATTACTGAACTGAATGTCGTCCCTTCTGTGACACTTACTCTGTAAAAATGTAATTGTATAAGTTTAAAATGTTTTATAAAGTTCAGTTGACTCAACTTAAAGTTTAAGGCTGTACCTAATTTATTATGATGCACTTGTCATTACAGTGTGTTTCCCTGTTCCTTCACATGCTCCATGCCAACCTGTCAAAGAGAAAGATATCAGGTCTTTAACTAATCTTAATACATTTCTTTTGAAACTAACTCCATTGTTTAGTTTGTTCAAGCAGCACTACCTGCTTCATGAGCTCCAGGTCTTCAAGTATATCTCCACTGTTCTCCTTCTTCTGCTCCACTCCAATCTGCAAATAAACAAAGACAGCCCCAACAAAACCCCAACTGCTGTTCTCCAGCATTTTTTAGAGAAATCTCCACCGATGCTCTTGTGAGTCTCCCTCTTTTGCCTGCTCTTCAATACCTGAAAAAAGGAAAAACCTGACACAGACAAGGCCTAAACACCCATCTATACCAGTGGTTCTCAAAGTGTTGTACGCGGGTTTCCTTCTAGTGGTATGCAGAGAAATCACTGAATAATAATTAAAAATATATGAATGCCCTTTTACCCTTTGATGCAAACGATAACAGATGTGATCAGCATTGGCTGTTCCCTGTTCTGTACGATCACACTGTTATGATTAGTATGTTTAGTGCATCATGTCATCAGATGCTAAGAATCTAAAAAAACTGTGGATGGCTTAAGCAGATACATGTCAGAGAGGTGCTTTTACAGACCAGTCCTGTTGGCATTTCAGTTACTGCAGTGCAAACTCAGGAGAATTATTGGTGAAATAATAGAGTGGAGGAACTATGACGTCAATTGTTATGCAAAAACCCGGAAGCGAATTAGCATTTTAGTAGTTCCGGTTCCCTCGTCCCAAAGTCAATGGGTTTTTTCAATGGGGTTTCAGTAAAATCGGTTAAATAAGGTTCGTGGCCAACACAAACTCAAAATACTTTCACGTTTTGTTCTACGACATAGAACACATCAGTTACAGCACACTCTTGAATTTTTAAATCGGTTATGCTTCTTTAAAAAGACGGTTGCTATCAAGTTGCTAATTGGGACTACAGGCGGTGTTAAGAGTACGGAATTACTTACCTGTTTGCGTTGTCTTTGTGTGTTTGGAGCAAGTGGGTTTGTTTTGACAGCTGGCCACGTGCTTCTTGTCCACGTGCTTTTTGTTTCCCCGCCTTAGAGAACTGGTAATCAATTTGCGATCCTTTCCTTCACCTGTTGCTGCTTGATTTCTCCCCTATTTAGTCTCCTCTCGTCTCATGTCTTTTGTCAGTCCGTTTTGCATGCTCGTGAGGCTTGTACGTTAATATCTATTGTGAGTAATCTGTCTTGTCGTGTCCTGTTTCCCCAGACTCCAAGCTCCTGCTTGTTTTGGTTTCGTTTTTTCTCTCCCTCCTTTATTTTGATATTTGCTCTTCTTCTTCGGTGCTGGCCGAGTGTTTGGTATTGCTCAATCGCCCCCTGGCGGTAATATCTGGAACTCACCTGATTCTTTTCATCTCTCCTTCTGCTGCCCAGTGAAGCCTTGGGAGCGCTCTCCTGCCATCTGGTGGTAGCGCCCGGAACTGTGCCGATTTCTGAGTCCAGCTTTTTTGAGTTTTGAACTGCCTTTTGAGGATATTTTGTGTTTTTTTTTAGAAGAATAAATTTGTTTCACCTGCTATTGAATCTGTTCCCTTTCTACCCTGACAGAACTTACTGACCAAATTATGGATTCAGCAGGTGCTGAGCATGTGAGAAACGCAGTGGCACAGCAGGGCATTCTCCTTGGCCAGCACGCTACACAGTTAAATGCAGCCTCGCAGGAGGTGGAGATGTTAAGGGCCGAAGTAATCGAGCTTAATGCTCAAATTCAGGAGCTTCATGAGAATGCCTGGGGTGGCAGACAGGTGGCTATTCCTCATCTCGAACCTGAACCTCACGCCAACAACCCACCGCCCTATGACGGGGATCCTAGTTCTTGCCGGGCATTCCTCTCACAGTGCTCCCTAGTATTCGCTCTACAGCCCCGTCGCTATGTAACTGAAGAGTCAAAGGTGGCGTTTGTAATCACCCTTCTTAAGGGCAGGGCCCGTGATTGGGCAACAGCAGTGTGGGATGCACGTGCCCCTTTCTGTGCCATGTTTGAGGACTTCCGTGCAGAAATGACCAAGCTGTTTGATCGATCCACCCAGGGAGAAGAAGCAGCCTCCCAACTGGCCCAGCTGAGTCAGGGAGGGCGCTCGGTTACTGATTATTTTGTTCTGTTCAGAACCCTGGCAGCTGCCTGCACATGGAATGAGGCGGCTCTTCGTGCCAGATTTAGGGATGGTCTGGATGACTACATACAAGATGAGATTGCCACTCATGACCTTCCCCGAGACTTTGATGCCCTGGTGGATCTCGCTCTTCGGGTGGAGGCCCGACTGCATCGTCGCCAGCATAGACGAGTCTCTGGTGCCTCATGGATGAATGAGGGCCCTTCAAGTGATCCTCGCACCCCATTACCTACCACCTCACCAGAGCCGATGCAATTAGGTCGTCTTCGACTGACTGTTGAGGAGAAGCGGCTTCGTCTGGCTCGAGGCCTTTGCCTGTACTGTGGGAAGCCGGGTCACAGAGCATTGCAGTGTCCTTTAAAAGCTCCAGCCCATCAGTAAACCGGGGGATTCTGGTGGGCACTCTCCCTTGTTTCGACACCCCCACACAACGCACCTGTCTCCCAGTCTCAGTCCAGTTCAATGGATTGACTCACTCTTGTCCTGCCTTGCTTGACTCTGGAGCTGAGGGAGACTTTTTGGACAGCACCACGGCCAGATCTTGGGGCATCCCAGCCATTCCTCTCTCCTCTCCCATCACTGTGTGCTCCCTTAATGGGTTTGCCATTACAACCATCACCCACTCTACCCCCTCTGTAAGTTTGATAGTCTCTGGAAATCACCGTGAGGTTATTACTTTTTATTTATTCGACTCCCCGAGTGCTCCAGTGGTATTGGGGCACCCGTGGTTAAGTAAACACAACCCTCACGTTGATTGGTTAGGGAATTCTGTGTTGTCTTGGAGTCAGTCTTGTCTTGCTGTTTGTCTTGGTCCTGCTCCGTGTCCTGGTTCTGTGTCTCATGTGTTTCAGATGGAGAGGGTGGATCTCTCTGGATTCCCGGTGGAGTACCACGATCTTCGCCAGGTCTTCAGCAAGTCTCGAGCCACTTCCTTGCCTCCGCACCGGCCATACGATTGTGCCATCGAACTCCTCCCAGGCACTTCTCCGCCAAAGGGTCGATTGTATTCCCTTTCTGCTCCTGAGAGAGAGGCCATGGACCGGTATATTCGAGAGTCTTTAGAAGCCGACCTCATCCGTCCCTCTTCCTCTCCAGCCGGGGCTGGGTTCTTCTTTGTTAAAAAGAAGGATGGTTCTCTGCGCCCTTGTATTGACTACAGAGGCCTTAATGGCATTACTGTTAAGAACAGGTATCCTCTGCCTTTAATGTCTTCTGCCTTTGAGTTATTGCAGGGAGCCCAGGTCTTTACTAAACTAGACCTCCGTAATGCCTATCACCTGATCCGGATACGTGAGGGGGATGAGTGGAAGACTGCGTTCAACACACCAACGGGGCATTTTGAATACCGAGTTCTACCCTTCGGGCTCACCAATGCCCCTGCAGTCTTCCAGGCCCTGGTGAATGATGTGCTGAGAGACATGGTAAACAGATTTGTCTTTGTGTACCTTGACGATATTCTTATCTTTTCTGAGTCGGAACAGGTACACACTCAGCATGTCCGCCAGGTGCTACAGCAGCTGCTGGAAAACCAGCTGTATGTCAAAGCGGAGAAGTGCGTGTTCCACAGCAAGTCTGTTTCGTTCCTGGGGCATATTGTCTCGACGGAGGGTATTAAGGCTGATCCTGCTAAGGTAAGGGCCGTTGCCAAGTGGCCAGTCCCTGACTCTTGTAAGGCTCTGCAGCGGTTCCTTGGATTTGCCAACTATAGACGGTTCATCCGGAACTTTAGCTCGGTCGCTGCACCCTTAACGGCTCTCACCTCACCTAAGGTACCGTTTATATGGCACAGTCAGGCACAGGAGGCCTTTGATGTTCTCAAGTCCCGTTTCATCACTGCTGCTGTCCTTTGTCTTCCAGATCCTAAACGGCAGTTTATCGTTGAGGTGGAAGCCTCGGAGGTCGGGATAGGCGCGGTCTTATCTCAGCGGTCCTCTAGGGATGGGAAGGTGCATCCGTGTGCCTTCTTCTCTCACCGTCTGAGCCCAGCCGAACGAAACTATGACATTGGTAACAGAGAGCTGCTGGCGGTCAGGCTGGCCCTGGGTGAGTGGCGCCACTGGTTGGAGGAGGCGGCACAACCGTTCTTGGTCTGGACGGACCACAAAAATCTAGAATATATCTGTTCAGCCAAGAGATTGAGTTCCCGTCAGGCCCGATGGGCACTTTTCTTCGGACGCTTTAATTTTTCCCTCTCGTACCGGCCTGGGTCCAAGAACATAAAACCTGATGCACTCTCCCGCCTGTTTGATGTACCAGGAGGAGAGGCTACCCCCGAAGCCATCCTTCCTAGAGAGGTGGTGGTGGAAACTCTCTCCTGGGACATCGAACGGTGGGTAGAGGAGGCCATGCGAGGAGGGGGAGCTCCAGAAGGGTGTCCAGAGGGAAGGCTATTTGTGCCAGCCAGTTTAAGATCCGAAGTACTCCAGTGGGGTCATGAGTCCAGAGTAGCCTGTCACCCAGGAGTCCGGAGATCGCTGGTCAATATCCAACAGCGATTTTGGTGGCCTTCAATGGCCCAAGACTTCAGACAGTTTGTATTGGCTTGTTTTGTATGTGCCCAGAATAAGACATCTAATCGGCCACCCATTGGTCTGTTACGTCCCCTTCCCATTCCCTCTCGACCCTGGTCACATGTGGCTCTTGATTTTATCACTGGCCTACCCCCATCGAGAGGTAACACTGTAATCTTAACAGTGGTGGACCGTTTCTCTAAAGCGGCCCATTTTATCCCTTTACCCAAACTCCCATCAGCCAAGGAGACTGCTCAGGTGGTAGTTGACCACGTCTTCCGGATTCATGGCCTTCCGGTGGATGTGGTCTCTGACAGAGGACCCCAATTTGTCTCCCGGTTTTGAAAAGAGTTCTGTAGACAGATCGGGGCCTCTACGAGTCTGTCCTCAGGTTTTCACCCCCAGACCAATGGGCAAACTGAACGAGCCAATCAGGATCTTGAGAGAAGTCTCCGCTGTCTGGTGTCTCAAAATCCGGGCTCTTGGAGCCAGCAGTTGTCTTGGATTGAATATGCCCACAACTCCCAGCCGGTAGCTTCTACAGGTAAGTCCCCTTTCCAATGTTCTGTTGGTTATCAACCCCCTTTGTTCCCCGCTCAGGAACCCGA